AGCCCATAAGAGAATTTATCCAGATTTTGAGTTTTGATCAGGTGAGGTCTCTGTGTGAGCATTTCAGCAATATGCAAAAATTCACAGGGATTATCAGAGTTTACTAAATCCTGTATTGTTTGCATGCACATTTGATAGCAGCGAGCCCTACTTTGCAGTTAGGCTGGTTATGTTCATTTCAGTAGAAGTTCCCAGTCTTCAGAAATGGATCAAATTTGCTGACAGACATTTCTAATAACTGTACAGGCTCAGCAGAGCTGGTGTTTATACTTGGGGTTTTCAAGTCATAGGAAGTTGTTCTTTAAGATGTAAGATGTTAAAGACCCAGTTACCTCAGAATGCATGATATAGTGAGAGTAAGGATGAATAGCAAAATGTGCCTGCCATGATAAAAGTGAATATTTGAAACAAAGCAGGAAGTGAACTCAGTGATTATGCAACTCCAATGTTTTTTCACTGTTCTTCTTGCAAATGTGCCTTTGTTATTGGTTGTGGGGATAAACTGCTTTGAGAAAAGCTACTTAAGTCCTAAAGAATTTATTTCAGCTCAGTGTTCAAGGGCACAGGAGTGTGAAGAAGCTGGTCACATCACATCCACAATCCAGAACAGAAGGTGATGAATACTTGCTTGAAGCTCAGCTCCTTTCTCCACTTAGGTAGCCCAAGATGCAGTCAGAAATTGGTGCCACATCCTGTGTGTGTATCTTCCTACCTTAATCCAGATAATCTCTTATAGGTGTGTCCAGAAGTGTATCTCTTAGGTGATTCTAGAATCCTGCCCTTTTGGCAACTGACACTGTGCATCACAATTCCACCCCTTGTCCTGATAGACTCATATGCAAAAATACATGTGGTTCAATTTTGAAAGTCCATGTAGTCTTTAACAATTCTAACACCTTTTAAAAGTCCCACATCTCAATACTGTGAGTTTCTATAAAATAAAATAAATTAAACTAAAAGGTATGTTGCTCCAGCATATAATGGTACAGAGTGAACGCTTCTGTTCCAGAAAGGAAGAACGTACCAAAAAATGATTCAACCAAAGCAAAACAAAAACCCAGCTGGGAATAAGTCCCTACTCCTACAGCTCTGCTGCCTGTAGTACACAAAGCCCCTATCTTGGGCTGGCTCCACTCCATGTATGCAGCTTCCTTTGGTGGACTTGTCGTGTTTCTTTATTCTCCAGTATCTAGGAGTCCCCATTACAGCAGAGAGTTCCACTTTAGCAGCTTCCTGCAGTGACCTCTGGGGCCTCTTTGCATGTACTCTGACCCTGTCACATGCTCCTTGACCTAGGTTGCTCTTTTGAACCATGGTTCTATATATATCCATAATGCAGTTTTGCATCTTTCATGCCTCAAGCAACACCATGTGGACAACACTGTCCATTTCTACTGCCCACCCAGGATGGAGCCTGGCCCCCTTGGGGAATAATAGCACCAACTTTTGTGTGCTGAGCATAGCAAAACACTATCCTCTGCAGTTCCTTTTGAGGAACAGGGAATCTCCTAGCTGCATTTTCAGTTGAAGCTTTGTTCTTTCAAATAAATTGTGTCTTTATACTTTGGGAACCTTTATGGTTGGGGTCTTGCCTTCGAGTTTCCTTTCCGGTTTTTACCACTGGTTGAAGTTTTACCTTCAAGGTACCTTATCATTGTTAGTGGTGGTCATGCCTGGGCTAGCTGTTTCTAGCCTCTTTTTTTTTTAAGGAATTGAAATAAAGGCTCACACAGATTTGCAATAACAGAAGGATAATTTTATTCAAAGCAAAGTCATAGCACATATCAGAGATAGACTTTGACAGTTTACAGTGGATTGCCTAAGTGAGGGTATCGAAGGTCTCCAATTTTTTTTTTTAAGTGAACAAATTTTAATCTGGAAAAATAGCAATCATAGTATGCAAATAAAAAGCACAAAAATTCCATGCACACTTTTACAGTACAATGACTGGTGAAGACTAAAACATACAAGTTACAGAGACACAGATCTAAGACAAGACAGGATTAAAAAAATATAACATGGCTGCATTAATCACTTACTGTTGGCTGATGGAGTACTTAATGAGGAACCTCATTTTACACAGGGCACCCAATTCAAGAATGGTCAAGTCATATTTTAAAAAACAAAAACTCTACAATAAAGCAACTTACAGCTCACAGAGGGGTAGAGCTTATAGACTCTGAAAATGAAACTGAAGGATTAAACTACATATAAAATCAAAGCCCTGTCTAAAAGTAATTCAAAGAAAATCCCCCCAAAGCAGTTATTGTTTGAGGTTTTCTTGGTGGAGGTTCAAGAGAAAGAGAAATTTGGTTTCTGAGGAGTGTAACATTCATGATTGGTTCTCTCTTTTGATTGGCAGGCTTAGGTAAGGCTTTGCTTATTTCATATGCCCCTTCCCATAATGCTCTGATTTTAATCAAATACTAGGCCAAATATACATAGACATAAGACAACAAATGGGATAAATAGGGGATTCTCCTAAAAGTTCAGTTTAAGGACACAATTTGCACCCCAGACTAGTTCAGACTGGATTGGCCCATTTCCCATAGTTTCTATATATTTTCCATGATGTATTTGAGTATAAATGGGATGTATCTGAAGAGAATAGCTTATTTCCATTGTTTAAGCTCATTTCACATATCCTTTGTTACAATGCATGTGACTTTAATCATGCAGGCGTAAAATGGTAAATAGATAATTCTCCTTAATGATTCATTTTGAGAACAAAATTTGTCATATTGTATATGCATCCAATTTTACTTTAGTTTGATTTTGCCTATTTCCCATGGGTTCTTGATGTGATCCAAAATATATTGGATTAGAGATGTGGCACTATCAAGGTGCTAAAACTAGTATTACAGTTTTTGTTTTATACAGGGTCTTACTGTGTATCCCTGAGTGGCCTGGAACTCACTATGTATACCAGGCTTGACTCAAAGTCATAGAGATCTCCTTGCCCTAGCCTCCTGAGTGCAGGGATTTAAAGGCATGAGCCACTACACTCAGCCTATTTCCCTTTTAAAAAGCATGTATACATGCAGCCTGATACAAGTGTGATCTAAGGTTGCCAACAGGTTTCTAGATGCATAATTTGCAGAGATGTGTGTGCATGTCCTAAGCCAAATACAGTCTCGTGTTGCTGAGTTATTCCCTATGTTCATCTGCCTCACTACTGTCCCAGTGTCTACAGCTGCTTATCTGCAGTAACCCTGCCTAAAACATTAAGCTTACTCACACTTCTTTTATCTTTCAGACTAATAAGTCTATTTAAATATAACTTCTTTCAGGTTCTCAGGCCCTAGGCCAAAGGAAGCCAGAATCATTTCCAAAATAGCTCACAGAGCCCCCATCCCATTTAATGATAGGGTCCTTACTTCCTTCTAAAACTTCATGAGCCAAACCTCCTCTTTTCATGTTCTCTTAGCATTCTTCTTCTTCCATGACATCAGACATCATTTATTTTTCTTATATAATGCAAGAACTTTTCTAGCCCCAAATACCAAACTTTTCCCATTCATTCCACAAACATGTACATAATGCCTAAAAACAGTATGACCAGGTATCTTATAGGAATGGTGCCACTTCTTAGTATCATTTTTTAAACTAAAAAAATATAGTATCTATTTTTATGTTATCTTTTTAAATCTCTTGCTGTGGCCAGGCGTGGTGGCGCACGCCTTTAATCCCAGCACTTGAGAGGCAGAGGCAGAGGCAGAGGCAGAGGCAGAGGCAGAGGCAGAGGCAGAGGCAGAGGCAGAGGCAGAGGCAGAGGCAGGCAGATCTCTGTGAGTTTGAGGCCAGCCTGGTCTACATAGTGAGTTCCAGGCCAGCTGGGGCTACAGGGAGACCCTGTCCCAAAAAAGACCCCCCCCCCCCCAAAAAAAAAAACTCTTGCTGTGATAAACTGCCCTGACAAAGGAAACTTAAAGCACAGAGTTTATTTCAGCTTACAGTTGAAGGGTATAGTCTGTCACGGCAAGGACCTTAGGAAAGCTGAGTGTCAAGCAGCTGGTCATGTTGCATGTTGCATTCACAGTCAGTGGTGGTCTGGTACTCAGCTTCATTTTTCCACTTATATAGTCCATTTATACAGGATACAAATCAGGGAATGGTCCACCCACAGTAACTTACCACCTTAATCAAGGTAATCTTTTTAAAATACATGTCTTTTTAAATTTTATGTGTATGAGTATTTTGCCTGCATGTATGTAAGTGCACCTGTGTCATGCAGTGCCCACAGAGGCCAGAAGAGGGCATCAGATCCCTTGGAACTAAATTTACAGATGATTGTTAGCTGCCTCGTGGGCACTGAGAATAGAACCTGGGTCCTCTGGAAGAACAGCAAGTGTTCTTCACCACCAAGTCATCTCTTTAGCCCCCAATCTCCCATATTCTTAGGTAAACCTTAATCTAAATAATCCATTACAAGGTGTGTCCAGAAGCTTATCTCCTAGGTGATTCTGTAGCCTATCAAGTGGAAAGTTAACTCTAAACTTGATGCTAAAGACTGTGTGCATGAAGAATATTTTGGACCAGTGTTACAACAAGGTGTCATGTTCGACTGTTCCTTTACCACACGGTTCCAAACTACCATCAGAATTGTGTAATGAGGTAGGAATAAGAACAAACAGTGGGACTGGAGAGATGACTCAGCATTTAAGAGCACCGGCTGCTCTTTCAGAGGACCCAGGTTCAATTCCCAGCACCCACGTGGCGGTTAACAACCGTCCTTAACTCCAGTTCCAGAGGATCCAATGCCCTCTTCTGACTTCTGCAGGCATAGTACACGGGTGCACTTACATATGAAAACAAAACACTCATACACATAAAATAAAATAATAAATAAAAATATCTTAAAAAAGAAACAAATAGTAAACATGTGCTAGTCATGATATAAGGTGAGTGAGGAACAAAACATGAAGTGAACTAATAAAGTTACTGTGTCTCGCTACTGCTTTTTCACTAGTTCTTCTTTAAATACCTGTGAATCATTTTAGGAGCCAGTGACCTTTGAGGATGTAGCTGTGAGCTTCACCCAAGGAGAGTGGGCTTTGTTGGACTCTACTCAAAAGAAGCTCTACAGAGATGTGATGAAGGAAACCTTTGTGAATCTGATCTCCATAGGTAAAAAAGACCACTTGATATGTTTGGTTATACAGTCAGAACAACCTTTTAATTCTTACCTATATAATCATGTGATTTGAAATATAGAAAGAAAACTGAATATTACATGCCTACCCATAGAAACAGGTAGAATGTAATATGTTTTTATAGTGTTATATAAGTCATAATGATTCTTTTGCATTTTTTTTTGTTTTTTTTTTTTTTTTAGGGAAAACAGATGAAGGAAACATAAATGAGGACTACCAAAATCTCTGGAGAAGTGCTAAGTAATATATACTCAAAAAGAATTTGAATCAAACATATGGTAGTGATAGGAAATCTGATTGTCAAGTAAATGATCCAAATACATCTAGTAGGTTGATTCAGTTTCATATATCATATATATACATTGAGCTTGAGCATTTAGAATTGGAGGATCCCATCTATGTAATATTTGAACATTACCAAAATATGGTTCAACATTACGCTATGTAAGATATAACTAGTGTTTCATGATACAGAAACTCCCTTTCATGCACAAAAGTATTGAATATTCTTTTATCAAGTTACCTTTATGCTTTGGCTATAAGGTCTGTGTTTTTCAAGTACCTAAACACAGTAGCATTCCAGAACCTTATATAGTTGTATGTCATCACCAGAACCTCTGGCTGAGTCCTTTTATGTGTGTGAATTCTTACAGACAGAAAGTTAACACTCTTAATTTTTTTCTGGGAGTTTCTTTTCTGTGTGGCCTAGGTTTCCCCCAGTTGTGGTACCATGCATCTGCTGCCTCCTCAGAACTGTAACTAGTCACAACATTCAGCCTGCAACATTTCCCTTTGCTAATCAAAAAATTGTAGTAATGCTCTTTTCCTTTTTTGCAGAACTCAGGTGATTGAGAGTGGCTGTGAATATGAACATGATAGTCAGTGTGAAGACGTACACCAACAGGTTCCAGAGCATTTTGTTAATGCTCTTCCAATAACAGTATATGAAAGCAGTATGTGTGTAAGAGACATCATTGGTCATTCACCCTCAGATGTGCACCTCAGAGATCAAACTGCAAAGACATCATTTGAGTATAATGAACATGTGGAGAAAGCTTTTTCACATAAGAAATGTTGGAAAGATTTCAGTCACTCTGAGTCCTTTCAGGTACATGAAAGTCCTCCTAGAGAGACACCCTATGAAAATAAACAATCTAGTGAAGCTTGTAGGAGTTTTATTTCTGATCATGATTATGAGAGAATTCACACTGGAGTTAACCACGAATGTAAGCAAATTGAAAAAGCATTCAGAAAAGACACTTCTGACCAATTACATGATAGAATCCACACTGGAGTGAAGCCATTTGTGTGTAAGCAGTATAGAGAAGCCTTCATTAATCCCAGTCATCTTATTAAATATGAAACAGTTCACATGGGAGAAAAACGTTATGCATGTAAACAATGTGGTAAAACATTTAGATACGCGTCATTCCTCCAGAAGCATGAAAGAATTCACAGTTTAGAGAACCGGTATGTATGTAAGCAGTGTGGGAAAGCATTTGTTCGTTCCTATAACCTTCTTGTTCACCAAAGAATTCACACTGAGGAGAAACCTTATGCATGTAAGCATTGTGGAAAAACCTTCATCCAACCTAGTAGCTGCTGTTATCATGAAAGAATGCACACTGGAGAGAAGCCTTATGCATGTAAGCAGTGTGGAAAAGCCTTCATCGATCCTCATGCCTATTACAATCATGAAAGAACTCACACTGGAGAGAAACCCTATGTATGTAAGCAATGTGGGAAAGCATTTATGTGGTCCACATCCCTCCGCCAGCATGAAAGAATTCACACAGGAGAGAAACATTTTACATGTAAGCATTGTGGAAAAGCCTTCACCCAATCCAGTGTCTGTAGGAGTCATGAAAGAATTCACACCGGAGAGAAACCCTATGTTTGTGTGCAGTGTGGAAAAGCATGCATTAGTTCCAGTACTCTTATTAAGCATGAAAGAATTCATACTGGAGAGAAACCTTATACATGTAAACATTGTGGGAAAGCCTTTGCCCATTCCAGTTCCCGTAACAGTCATGAAAGAATTCACACTGGAAAGAAACCATATATATGTAAACATTGTGGGAAAGCCTTTACTGGTTCCAGTGCCCGTAACAGTCATGAAAGAATTCACACTGGAGAGAAACCTTATATGTGTAACCATTGTGGGAAAGCCTTCACCAATTTGAGTGCCCGTAACAGTCATGAAAGAGTTCACACTGGAGAGAAACCTTTTACATGTAAACATTGTGGAAAAGCCTTTGCTCATTCCAATGCCCGTAATAATCATGAAAAAATTCACACCGAAGAGAAACCTTATACATGTAAGCATTGTGGAAAAGCCTTCACCCAATATAATGATTGTTATGATCATGAAAGAACTCACACTGGAGAGAAAATATACATATGTAATATAATATGGGGAAACCTTCAAGTACTCCACATACCTTCTCAATGATAAGAATTCACACTGGAGAGAAATCTTGTGCATGTAAGCAATGTGGGAAGGTATTTACGTGTTTCATATTCCCTCACAAACACATAAGAACTCACAGTTAAAAGAAATACAGTGGTCTATGGCCATACCACCCTGAATGCACCCGATCTTGTCTGATCTCGGAAGCTAAGCAGGGTCGGGCCTGGTTAGTACTAGCTGGGCGTGGTGGCACACACCTGTTGTCCCAGCACTTGGGAGGCAGAGGCAGGTGGATCTCTGTGAGTTCAAGGCCAGCCTGGTCTACATAGTTCCGGGCTAGCTGGGGCTACAAGGAGACCCTGAAAAAAAGATCCCCCCAAAAGATTTATGTGTGTGGGGGAGAGTGTGTGTGGTGCATGCCCACATGTGTAGGGAGGAGGGCAGCTGGGGCTACAAGGAGACCCTGTCTCAAGAAGACCCCCCCCCCAAAAAAATACAGTGGGTAGAACTTATGCCAGAATAAATAGTGTGGCACTGTCTGTGGCCTATTTGCTTTTATTGTCAGTTATGAAAAAAGAGTGTAGACTGACTGTGAGGTGCCTCAGCTGGTAATATCACTTGCTAATCAGCCTGATCTGTGTTCAATTCTTGAGACATACATGGTGGAAGTAGAGAACCAATTCCTAAAAATTGTCCTTTGATTTATTAATATTTTTTGATAAAGTCAAGAAAAACAGATTCTGATACCTCCAAAAGTATGATTTTCATCACAATATGCACACATATGGAGGACTTAAGTCTGTTGCACTCATCGTTCTGCATGACTCTTATTCAATAGCTGGCAAGGGAGAAACTAGAAAAATGCCGTATTGAAATATAGTTTAAACACTACTTGGGAGATTTTAAGAAGAACCATTTCCAACCAAATGAATTTTTCATTGTAAAAGCATGAGAAATTTCATGTGCTTGAATTGTGTAATAGTAGGAAATGTAAATACTGGGCATAGTGATATTGGGACACATAAATGTGACCAGTTTCCCCTCTCATCTGAAGTGGGTCTGGAAGCCCCATATTCCCAATATGCAGCTGGTACCCTACCAACATGGAGTAAGAGAACAAGAATTTTAGCTAGTGGCAGGCTGCATATCAGGCACTGCCTGATAATGAGAAGTCAATGCCAGTCCTGTCTGTGTCTTCTAGAAACAATTGTGTACACCAGCCACCAGGCATTTACCATTTTCTAGAGACATTGAGGTCCCATTTGATATCTGCTGAGACATCCAGGCAATATTTGGGAAGCCATTAAGACTAGGAAGGCTGTGCATGGTCTTTCTTCCATTCTGACAAGCCTGGATGACAGATCACATCAGATAAAGACCACATAGATGTAATGAGTGCAGCCACAGTTCATGAAGTCCAAGCATCTCAAGCAACGCTAAAGGACTCATTGGTGGATACCAGGATCCCTAGCACAACAACTGGCAAATGGTCCTCTTACTCCTGGCCAGAAAAATTTTATTTTTCATTTAAATTTATATTTGTATGTATATGAATATTTTGTCTGCATGTATGTGTGTACACTGCCTGCCAAGGTCAGAAGAGGGTGTCAGATCCTTTGGAACTAGAGTTAAAGATGGTTGTTAGCCACCATGTTGGTGCTGGGAACCTAACCTGGGTCCTCTGGAAGAGCATCCAGTACTCTTAATGCTGAGCCATGTCTCCAGCCCCCTAGCCAGAATCTTCAGATTCCTTTCTTTCCTCTTTTTGGCCTCTCTAACCCAAGATCTTACTGTATTTGCCAGCTCATTTCTTGGGTAGGTGAAGTCTTACATGATGGTAGGAAAATTAGGAAGTGGCAGTGAAGCTGCCTAGTCCCAAATGAAGCTTTGGACCCCACCATGAATATTGCAAAACCTTAGAAAATTATGCCTGCTGCCCTGGCTTCTCAGGGAGCCCCAGCTTCTGCAATGAGAAGATGGAACACAGACAGAGGGCTTCATCAGAAACCTCTATATCTCATGTCACAGCTGGAAACACTTCAGTGATCAATCTTTGCCTACTCCATGAAACCCACTGCTGGGGGAGGAGACTTCCCAGTCAAGGTGTGAGATGTTCTCATCCTTGTAGAGCTGTCTTCAAAATGTGCAGAGAGCTGCAGAGTTGCAGCTTTCATCAGTAGTCATCTGTGTTGGGATGGGCTCTTCTGTGTTGAAACTCCTTTTTGTTTTTAAGTCATTCCTACTCTTGTAAATAATCCCTCACCCATACTCCTGTGAGTAACCCAATAAAACCTCATTTATTGGTTCACCAAGTTGAACGTTGGTGTAATTGTTACTTTGGTCTTTTGTAGGTTCTGTTTCTGGGGTTAGTAGACTGTTGCATCTCCCCTGGAAAAGTGTCACATAACACTTGGTGCTTAGCAGGGATCTAATAGAACCAAAAATTATTTTGGAGGAGTGATTGCATGATCCTGGTTGCGGGTAGAAAGACATGGTTGAACAACTCGAGTTGAACATCCATAGAGGGAATTTCAAAATGGCAGTCTTTCCCTGTAGTATGTGGAAGTGTGCCTTCTCACTATGGTAGTAGTTACATGGTTCTGGCTGTGAGTAGTGAGACTTGTGACTTGCAGCGTCACCATGCCACGTTACAGTAATAAACAGCTTCAAGATGCCCTGCCTTTCATTTGATGATTTGGTATGTTAGTTTTCAAGCATACACACATTCATTCACTATCTTTGGGTGGAACAGCAAATTGAGGTTCTCAGAAATTCAAGACAGGTGCCCAGGTCACAAAAGCACCTGGTTCAGTGAGCTTGCATTAGTTTTTTGGTTAATGAGGTTAATTAAACAGTAATTAGTCCAGATTTTGTCCATTTTATAAAAATTCTTACAGTGACTAAGGCTCAGACATCAGAAGTTGGATTGTTGAAAGGGGGAATCCTATGGTGGCAGTCTTCTCTTCCTCTGTGTGGTACAGAGTGGCTCATTTGCTGGATATATGGGGTCTACTGCATGAATACAGAGATATCCTGGAAACTGATAAAGGTTTAGTGCAAATTTTGCTCTCTTTGAGAGTAGCACATGAGAGCTTAGATTATTCACAACCAGTTGCAGGAGTTGCCTGGACACTGCTATCTAGTAAGAAACACCTCTGGCACCAAGGGGGTGGTGCAGAGGGATCTTGTATACCTAAGCAAGAATTACAATGGGAGAAATACATCTTCCATGATATCCTCTAATTTAGTCGATAAAGAGCAGATGAGATGGAGGTGTTGACTTGCCAGGTTTTAATGGCTGGGGCACTGAAAGGAAAAGAAAAAGTAGATCTGTGTTAAAAAGCCCTTCCTGGCATCCAAAAAGGTCGAACCTGTGGAAAGAATCAGAGGTGGAGGAAATTGGGAACATTTTTAAAAGTGATAGATGATACCCCTCAGGCCTAACTTTTTTAATGTGTATGAGTGTATTACATGTATGTTAAGTACACTCGTGTTGTGCAATGCCCAAAGAGGTCAGAAGATGACAGCCAATCCCCTAGAACTGGAGTTATGCACAGTTGTTAGGCACCATGTGGGTACTGGGAATTGAACCCGGGTCTTCTGCAAGAGCAACCAGTGCTCTTAACTGCTGAACCATCTCTCAAGTCCCAGACCTAACATTTAATAGGGGCAAAGGGGAAGTCTGATTCAGCACACAGTAGCCTTCACAATGGTCCAGTACAAGAAGCTATGATAATCAGAATCCTCAGCATCTGAGCTGCTTGCATTGGAGAAGGCATCAAACAAGCAGTGGCAGAGCCTGTCAATGCCTGGTTTGTGAGGTAAGACATGGGGAAGGCTGGGATCGGTCTGAGTGCTTTGGAGGCAGAAAAATAGTAATAGAACTACCCATTCCTCCTTAAGACAATGGCTGCCTAACCTGGGATAGGATGAGGAAAATCAATCCCTTAAGGACTGGCTTGCACAAACCATTAAGAACCTTTGGTTATCTTCACCTGTGGTCAGTGTGAATTATCTGGGAATGGTAAACAAAAAATTCAGTCATCACTGAGAGTACTGGGAATAAGAGAAGCTGTGTTTGGTCCCCAGTTCACCTGACCAGATAAAACTTTTATTAGAAATGTGTTTGGGATCTCAAGAAAATGACCACACATTTCAAATTATTTTGGCAAGTCAACAAGTTTACATCTAGCTGGATATAGTGGCACACACCGTTGATCCCAGCACTCAGGAGGCAGAGACAAATCTCTGTGAGATGGAGGGCAGCCTGGTCAATATAGCAAGTTCCAGGCCAGCTGGGGCTACACAGGGAGACTGTTTCATTTTTTTTTTTTTTAACCTGTTAAAGGTGCATTGCTGCTCTAAATCCAGCAAGCAAGCACACTCAGCGGTGGTCCTGCTGGATTTTTATTCCTAACACAGTGGGGTTTGGCTGAGTGATGAGAGCTCAGCCTCACATTCTTGCATGATTGATTAATTCAAAGTGACAGTTGATAAGCAGAATGCAATTTTCAGCAATGAGTGCAACCTTGAATATATATTTTGTTTTCAAGAAGTGTTGGCCTTGGAGGAATCTTAATTTCTCCCAAGCATCTTTTCAGTTCTTGATATAAAGTTTTGTCTTATTTAACCCATTGATAGATTGTTTTGTTCTGGAGTACTAATCAATAACAAGATGTAGAAATGTGTTTCTCCTGTTTTAATTAAGTTTAGCTTTCATATGCACGGGCTTGCACAACATCCAATTGTAATCATGACTCCTAGGACTATAACTTATTAAATCATGTCTCCTAAGAATTCTACTTATTAAACCATCATTCCATAAAGTTAGAAAATGGGTTATTCCTAAATTTTCAGCTAATTCTTTAAACAAAATCATCCCTGAAGAGCCTTTATGACTGTTGCATGAGAAACTGGATTATTGAGAATAAAAGTGTAACATCTCCAATAAAGCACAATATTAATAACTCCCTTTTCTGCTAGCATCGTATCAAGTGTGAGCTACCACCCCCTCCCTTTTTGATGTGTATGAGAGTAATGCCTGCATGTAGGTAGGTGCACCTGTGTTGTGCAATGCCCACAGAGGTCAGAAGACAGCGTCAAATTCCCTGGAACTGAAGTTACAGACAGTTCTAAGCCACCATGTGGGTACTGGGAAGCAAACCAGGGTCCTCTGCAAGAGCAGCCAGTGCTCTTAACTGCTAAGCCATCTCTCCAGCCCCTTGTGATCTTATTTCTATCAAACCATTTGACTAATGGCATCCAGCTCACTAGATAGTCCTTTAAGGGCATCTCTGGTATAATAAGACTTTTTTGAAGATTGTACAT